AAAGTTAAAGCGCGTGTTGATTGAGTACCCTCTCCTCAAAGTAGTAGATCCGTCCTTGCCATTTGTCGTTGTCGGGGCAAATACCCTGACAAGGGTATTTGCCGGGGTTTTTCAACGTCGGACGCTGTCCGACTCTTTTGTTAAATTGAAGGACTTGATGAGATTGACGTTTGCCAGAAGTTTATTCAGACCTGACCTTTGAAAGTTTTCGAACGTTAGTCCGAACGCGTGTGGCGTCCGGGAGTGACGGATGTGAATGGCAATGCTTTGCTTTTGTCGAAACCGCAGGAACGTGCGAACATGGGAACGTGAAAATTAAACCTATTCTAACAGCCGCGCGATCCAGGACCTAAGTAGGCTAAAAAGAGGGATGCGCAAGGTATGGGGCCTCGACGCGAGAGGCATAGGAAATTTTTTTATTTACCGGGGCTGCAGGGGTTGACACCGAGCCAGGGGGATTGCAAGGCCAATGCCGAGGTCACGCTGCCAACTGACGAAGCAGGGCCTGCCAGCAAAGCCTATTAGGCTTCGGGCAGGCGGATCTGCAGGGTCATAGGCAGGCAAGGCCTACAAGGCCACGACATGGGGGAGAAAGGACTGGGCAAGCTCTTCATATAGAAGAGTCGCTCCTATCACTGTTGTGATAGGAGCTAGCCCAATAGGATACAGTGCCAGACTTTCGCCCAGCAGACACCGGGATCGAGCCCGGCCGCACGCACCTACCAGGCTAGCTCCTTTTGGAGCTGGCCATTGCCATTGCTGACAGCGCGGTCAGATCTGGCCATCCGATCGTGGAAATCGCGATGCCCAGATCTGGCGCGCGCAAATCAGCATGGCCCATGGGCAAGGATGACACGCATAAATCGAGAAATGGTCAAAATTTTTTATGATCCCATCTGGGATCAAACCTGGGTCTGTGGTATGGAAACGCGTGGCTGAAAAGCCACGCAGTAAATTGAGAACTGACCATTGGCATAAGCCAACCGATTTTGGAAAAAAAAATAAAAAAATAAAAAAGTTATTGTGCCATGTGGCACACTTCGGAGTAACTAGGGCTTTTCAGGCCCAGTACACCAAACGATCGCCCGTGAAAACGGGCGACCGTTTTGTTTTTTTTTTTTTTTTTTTTTTTTTTTTTTTTTTTTTTTTTTTTTTTTTTTAAAGATCCATGTGGTAGTAGCGGCTGGGCTCTATGCCTCGGGAAGTGTCAGATTTGCATGTTCAACCAGTGGGGGGATGACTTAGAGGATCCATATTTTCGGGGACACCTAACCATAGAGACTACACTTTGACTGTGTTACTTTTTAACTGTCGTAAGTCGAGCCCCTATAGTTGGTTACCTAGACCTAGCCTAACTAGACCAAGGCTCCCAAACCCGCAATGTGCCAAGGATCTAGCTACAGACCCCTGACTGCTACCATAGAGGACACCCTGA